GAGGGGAAACCCCTTGCTTCCCTTTGATCCCTTCCCCGCGCCGGGGGGGGTCCCGGGGGGTGGTCGCCTCCCAGATACGTTTTTCCCCCTCTGGGGGCCCTGGGGCCTCAGAAAGTACCAAGACAGGCCAAGGGTGCCCCAAGAGGCCGCCGAGACGGTCCAAGAGGGTCCCTATTCGCCAAACGATCGGTCCAATACGCCTTCACGCCCTCCAGACTGTCCAGGAGGCCTCCAAGTCGCCCCAAGACGCCTCCAAGAGCACTCCCGACAGGGCCCCAAAAGGCCAAAATCATTGACTCTTCGCAGGCTCATTTTTCAAATATAAGCAAACCATTGGGCGTTCTCGCCTTTTCCACTTCCCGCCGCTCCAAAACGGCGCCAGAGGCCCCCAAGATCTCTCCAAGACGGCCCAAGAGGTCTCCAAGAAGGCGAGGACACCAAGACACAAGACAGCCCAAAACGCCTCCAAGCCGGCTCCAGATGCACCCAAGATGGTTCCAAGAGCGTGCCCCGACGGGGAACCCGCATGGACATTTCGAGCCCTCGGCCCCAAGAGACTCCCAGCAGGCCCCTCGAGGGTCCCCAGAAGCCCCAAGGGGCCCACAACAGGTCCCCAGGAAGCCCGAGGAGGCCCACAAGAGGCTCCCAAGAGCCCCCAAGAGGCTCCCAAGAGGCCCATCCATTTCTTCTCAGAGGCCCCCGAGAGACATCCGACGAGACCCCAAGAACCATCCCTGCCCCACGTCAGCGTCGTCGTCGTTGCCGCCGCCGCCGCCGCCGTTGTCGTCGTCGTCGTCGTCATCGTTTTCGTGGTCGTCGTCGTCGTCGTTTCCCTTCAGGGTCGGCGGCACGGGCCGAAAGGCCTTCGCAATCAGAGAGACCGAGGAGAGGGAGGGGGGAGGATGGAGGGAAGAGGGGAGAGCGGGCGAGGAGTGAAAGAGGGGGGAGGCGGCGGAAGGAGGAGGAACGACGGGGAAGAGACTCGGGGCAGAGAGGCGGGGAACGAGATCCTCCACCACTTCCTCCTCCTCCTCCTTCTCCTCCTCCTCTTTCCTTTTCCTGCCCTCCTCCCTGCCTCCTCCCCCTTCCCATCCCCCACCAGCACCGACTCACAAGGGTGGGTGGGCCCAAATGCACCACCCGACACACACACACACACACAAACAGCTAGCTGTTATGCCGACCCTTGAAATGTTCAGCACTACACTTCAGATCGTCATCCTCCCCTCCCTTCCTCCTCCATCGCCCCCCTCTTTCCTCCTGCTCCTACTCCTCCTCTTCCTCCTCCTCCATCCTCCTCCTCCTCCTCATCCTCCTCCTCCTCCTCATCATCATCATCATCATCCTCCTCCTCCTCCCTCCTCCCGGAGGACTCCTCCCCCTCCTCCTCCTCCTCCTCCTCCTCCTCTCTCCTCCTCCTCCTCCTCCTCCCTCCCTCCTCCTTCTCCTCCTCCTCCTCCTCCCTCCTACGCCCCGCTCCTCCTCCTCCTCCTCCTCCTCCTCCTCCTCCCCTTCCTCCTCCTCCCCCTCCTCTTCCTCCTCCTCCTCCTGGGCACAGCCCAGAGGCGACGACAGCGTCGATCACCTCCTGCAAACAACAACTATGCAGCCGACGGCGCACCTTGCAACCGCCTTCGGCTGCATACGTCGGGCGAAGCCTTCGGAAAAGGGCCGAGGCACGGCAGTCGAACGACACGAGCAGAACACGGCATCGAGCGACCGCACGAGGGCCCCCTCGAGAGACACACGCCAATCCGAGGGAGCAGGAAGCTCGAGAAAGCCTCGGGGCAGCTCGGCGGCGCCGGCTGCGCTGCGCTGCCCGAGCTCGCACCCCCCGCGGGCGGCAGCAGCCGCCGAGAGGCTGAAACGCGCTGCGGGACTCCGTCTAGCTTGAACTGGCCACGCTCCAGACGGCTCGAGATGGTCTTGACCCACTCTGGGAGCTTCGGCCTGCGGGCAGCACTCATGTCCATATCCAGAGCGTCGTGGGCCTGTTGGGAAGAGGTGCCGCCACGCCGAGGCGCACTGGATATGGATAAAAAATCAAGCCTCTTGAGGCCAGACTTATATCCATGTCCGGTGCGTCTACGGTTTCTGTGGAAGAGAGCCCAAGACTCCAAGACGCACCAGATGTGGATATAACTATTGCCCGCACTTCGGGGGGCAGGGCTCCAGGAGGGACACGACCCTGCGGAACGCAAGCGCCCCGCACCTCCCACGACACGCGACCTCAGTTTGGTGCGGCTGGGTCGGGGCCGAAAAAAAACAAAAAGCTGATGAGCTTCGAGTCCCCTGGCCAGGAGGGAAACCTGAGACAGGGCAGCACGCTCTGGCAGAGAGGGCGGCTGGGTCTTGACAAACTGGATTGAGGGAGGGGCATCACTGCGTGGCCTCTTCGCACGATGCAGGCAGTCAGTCTCAGCTAGCACGGTTCCGACTTGCGCCACCAACACTCCGAGTCCTCGCGCGAGCTTATGATGCTGTGCTGCGAGCTGCTGGAGCGCAAGGGGTGGTCGTCTATCGTATGCACGGGCTTTGGCCTCTGCATCTGCACACTTGTTGCCGAAGGTTAGGCGGTACGACTGGAAATCCTCAAGAACCTGCCTCTGAGACACGTGGGACTTGACCTTCAGGACCTGGACACCTCCTCCGCAGTCCTCGAGCTTCTCCCAAACAAGCCTCCAGAGGTGCGCCCAAGAGAAAACAGGAGCAGTGGTGTGCTCACGGCCCCACAGGTTGACCCCCTTGACGACAGAAGAAGAATCTGAGTAGACAGTGACAGGAGGCACAGCGTGCAACAGCACGGAATACAAGGCGTGAAGCTCAGCACCGTCAGTATCCTGATGCGGTCCAGGCAACACGCCTGTCAAACTAGCGGAGACTGCGTCGCCCTCAGGACGCAGAGAAACACACGCAAAGTCAGCCACAGCATAGGTGGGCAGATCCTCATAGAGTGAGCCATCGATAAAGACATCGCCCGTGAGGCTCTGAGGGTCACCTTCCCACCGAAAGTACGGCTGCTCAGCCCACTGCAAGAGATCAGACGGTTCACGAGGCTTGCCGAGGACCACACGCTCGACGAGTATCTCGGCCAACCTATTGTGCACAGCGTGCTGGGAAGGGATCTGCACACGCTCAGGGACGGGCGCGACCAACTCAGGGATGTGCGAGCACCTGGCATGCCTGTGCACCAAAGTGCCGTCCCCGTCCTGACAGATGAGACACTCAGGCAAAGGGACCCAACCCTTCGCGTGCTGTCTAGCTTGCGGCCGCTGGCCCCCGATCGCCACCGTCCTCCTCCTCCTCTTCCTCCTCCTCCCTCCTCCTCTTTCCCCCTCCCCTCCTCATTGTCCACCTCCCTACCCCCTCCCTCCCTCCTCAGTTCCTCCTCCCCTCCTCCTCCCATCCTCGACGGCGGGGCCTCCGACGTGAGCTGGAACGTTTCCGTCCCGAGCAGCTCGGGCCGCTGGAGCACGGACAGGCGCTCGCAGATCCGGTCCTCGACGTCGTCCTGGGGGGGGGGGGGGGGGGGGCTCGAGGCCTCGGGAAGAAGGGAAGAGGAGACGGAGGAGGAGGCGGAGGAGGGGGGGGAGAGAAGGAGAAGGAGGGAGGAGGCGGACGAGGGGGAAGAGAAGGAGAAGGAGGGAAGAGGAGGAGAGGGAGGAGGAGGAGGAGGAGGAGGGGGAGGAGGGGGCAGAGGAGGAGGCGGAAGAAGAGAACGACGGCGAGGACATCGACGAGGGAGGCGGAGGAGGAGGCGGAGGACGAACGAGGAGGAGGACGAAGAGGACGAGAAAAACAAAATGGGGAAAACGGGGACAGGGAGGAAGGGGGGGTTCCGTGCCCTCCGGGCGCGGCCCACGCCCCCAAGAGCCACGGGTGAGAAATGCGGGCGCGTGGGTCATCCGACACCGCCCTCGACCGACGAGGAAGGCTCCTCCGCCCCCAACAGCCCCTCCTTGTCGCTGCCATCGTCGCCGCCATCGTCGTCATCGTCGACGCCGTCCTGGCCATCATCATCACCGTCGTCGCCGTCGTTGGAGTCATCATCATCATGAGCATCAACCTCAACACCAGCGGCACCATCAACATATCTCTCCATCGTCGTCGTCGCCGTCCGCGCCGTCATCATTCCCCTCATCATCGCCGTCGACGCTAACGCAACAATCAACGTGCGATCAAATTCGGCACCATCATAGTATTGCGAACGTCACCATGACTACCACCGTCTTCGCCACCACCAACACAACAAGTATGTTAACGGTCAACGTGGCCGTCGGCGTCATCACAACCACCGTCACAACATGCACCATCACCATCACCACTAAACTCATCATCGACATCACTCGTATAATCATCAATCCGTCACACTCACTATCATCTTCACCAACATTATGGCCACCATCAGTATCATCATCTACACCATCGCCATCGTCACCACCATCACCATCACCGTCGGTAAGGTAACCATCATCCTCCGCAGCATCATCACCATCGACATCAACACCATCACCAGCATCACCATCATCAACATCATCATCGTCATGATCATCGCCATCACCGTCGTCATCATCATCACCAACATCATCATCAGCATCAGCAGCATCAACATCACCATCATCATCACAGTCAAGATCAGCTTCCGCACCATCAACATCAACATCCACATCATCACAGTCCACATCTCCGCCGCTCCTCTGTCCTCCTCTTCCTCGCCGCGTTCTTCCCATCTGGACGCAGGAAGACGATAAGTACAATCAGGAAGGGAGGATGTGCAGGATGAGGTAGAAGGACTAACTCGAGGTCAGGCCTAACTCGCCACAATAGGCGCACACTAGGAGCTAGTCCCCCACATCGGAGAAACCGAGCTCGAACAACTCTGCACACCGGTAAGGGTCACGACGAAGGAGGCATCATCAAAACCATGTAAATTCACCACGTCGACATCGCCTGAGAAGGTCCACCAACCTGCGCGATGTGAGCATTGAGCTTGCCAGGGTCTGGAACGTCCTCCGGCGAGCTCTGTGCGTTCTCAGTCCTGGGCTCTGGCTGCCAAGACGCTGCGCATCGAGACGGTTGCCCCTACGCCAAAACCTCGCAACAGAGGCGCCAATCACTCTGCATAACAACGTACGCAGGCCTTCCTCGACAGGGTCACCGACGGAGATCTGCACGACAGAGGCTTCCACCGCAGAGTGCCCGCTGGAACTCCAGGGGGCTCCGAACAAACTGGACCAGGGCGGGCACCGCAGCAGCAGAGGCAGCCGCAGCAGCAGGCAAAAACAAGAGGAGAAAGAGGAGGAGGAGGAGGAGGAGGAGGAGGAGGAGGAGGTGTAGGAGGAGGAGGAGGAGGAGGAGGAGGAGGAGGAGGAGGAGGAGGAGGAGAAGGACGAGGAGGAGGGACGAGGAGGACGAGGAGGACGAGGGGGAGGAGGAGGAGGAGGAGGAGGAGGAGGAGGAGGTGGAGGAGGAGGAGGAGGAGGAGGACGAGGAGGGGAGGAGGAGGGGGAGGAGGACAGGAGAAGGAGGAGGAGGAGGAGGAAAAGGAGGGAGGAGTGGGAGGAGGGGCAAGAGGAGAACGAGGAGGGGGAGGAGGAGGAGGAGGAGGGAGGAGGAGGAGGAGGCGGAGGAGAAGAGGAGGAGGAGAAGGACGAGGAGGAGGAGGACGAGGAGGACGAGGAGGACGAGGGGGGGGAGGAGACGAGGGGGGGAGGAGGAGGAGGACGGGGAGGAGGAGGACAGAGGAGGAGGAGGAGGAGGAGGGGAGGAGGAGGAGGAGAGGAGGAGGAAGAGGTGTAGCAGGAGGAGGAGGATGAAGATGATCAGGAGGGAGGAGGAGGAGGAGGAGGAGGAGGAGGAGGAGGAGGAGGAGGAGGAGGAGTAGGAGGAGGGGGAAGAGGAGGGTAGGGGGACAGGAGGAGGAGGAGGAGGAGCAAGAAGAGGACGAGGAGGAGGAGGAGGAGGAGGGAGGAGGAGGAGGAAGGGGGAGGAGGACAGAGGAGGAGGAGGAGGAGGAGGAGGAGGAGGAGGAGGGGGGGGGAGGAGGAGGAGGGAGGAGGAGGAGGAGAAGGAGGAGGAGGAGGAGGAGGAGGAGGAGGAGGAGGAGGAGGAGGAGGAGGAGGAGGAGGAGGAGGAGAGAGGAGGAGGAGGAGGAGGAGGGGGCGAGGAGGGGGACGAGGAGGGGTAGGGGGACAGGCGGAGGAGGAGGAGGAGGAGGAGGAGGAGGAGGAGGAGCAAGAGGAGGACGAGGAGGACGAGGGGGGGAGGAGGAGGACAGAGGAGGAGAAGGAGGAGGAGGAGGAGGAGGAGGAGGAGGAGGGGGCGGGTTGGGAAGACCAGCCCCGCGCTGGCAAGGCCATAGGCAGAGGGCACAAGGAAGGCGGGGAGGGGAGAACCGAGGGCCACCTGGAGGGAGGGGGAGGAGGAGCAGCAGGGAGGAGAAGGTCAGGTCCTCCTCCTCCTCCTCCTCCTCCTCCTCCTCCTCGTCCTCCTCTCTTCTTCCTCCTTCTCCCCGATCCTCCTCGATCCTCGATCCTCGATCCTCCTCCTCGCCGGGCCGCGCCAGGCAAGGGAGGGAATCCCTTCCCGGCATCCAGGCATTCCTACACCAGGGCCCCACTCTTTCCCTCACGCGTGGGTCCTCCTCCCACTTCGTGCACGGGCGCGGCGGCCGAGGTCCGACCAGCTCAAACATTGCCTTATCACTCTACGTGCCACCACCACCCCGCCTCGGGGAGCAGGGCCGAAGAGCAGGCGGGGTCCAAATACTCTGGTGGCCCTCCGCCTGTGCGATACCTTTCTTGGCTCGCCCGCCGCGTCGCGCCCGAAGCAGGTCCGCGTCGAGGGGCTCGATGGTGTCACCTTCGTCTTGGTCGACGTTGACCACCTTCGGGCACTCGTGGAACTGGCGGCCCCTTGGTGCAGCTCTGCCAGCCAGGGCAGAACGGGCACCGCGGGCTGGCCGAATTGCCCACGGCGCGACGCTTCGCCGCAACCCGGGAGGCCCCTGCCCAGATCTCGCGCAGCCGCGCCGCGCGTGCCCCGAGAAGAACGGCACGAGGCGGCGCTCGGCTGCGCCGCGCTGCCCTGTGCCGAAGCGTGGCCGTGGGCGACAGGCCCGGCCCCTCACGGTGGAAGAGGATTCGCCTGCCCTGCCGCCGCTGAAAGCCCCCGCGCACTAGCTGCAGCACCTCCTGCGTCTGCGCGCGGGGCAGCTCGATGAGAGCAACTGCGTCGGGGGCGCGGACGAGGCTCGAGCGCTACCCGAGCAAAACCTCGTCGAGGTTACCTCGACGTAGCTGCAAGTGGCCCTCGCGCCCCGCTCCAGCCAGGCTTAGTCTCAGACCAAGTCTGCTCCAGGGCCTGCCGCGCGCTCTGCAGTCTCGCCAGCTGCAGCCGGCCATCCCGGCCCGCGGCGCAGCATCGCGCCGCCGGTGCCAAGACACGTCGAAAATGGAGTCTACGCTGGGATCCGTTCGGGTGGCCAGGTGCAGCGCCCTTGAATCAGCGCCCAGGCCACCGCGGCCACTGCGCAGGAGCACAGCAGAGCGCCTCCGCCCGGCGAGGCGCTCCTCGGCGGCTCCCGACACGGCGGCGCCGCGGGCAGCCGAGGGCAGGGGCCCTGTCCGACGCCAAAGGGCCTGCATGCGGAGCCCAGCCGTCCTCTCGAGGGCTGCAGATTCGCGAGCCGCGTGCCTGCGGGGCAAGGATCCGCGTCTTGGCCACTGCGCGAGTGGCGTGGGTCTGCGCAGCCTCGCGAAAGCCACGCTGCGCTGCCGCAGTGATAGCCAAGCATCCTGACTCGGCCACCTTCACCTCGAACGCGAGGGGGGCCGCATCAGCGATGAGGTCCTGGGCCAGCCTGCGCAATGCGAGGCCACCCCTGCCGATGACATCTCCATTTCACTGGATGGTGGTCCCCCATGGACCCCGTGGCCGGGAAATCCATCGCCGCTCTTCTCAGCCACGTGACGGCTTGGAAAAACAGCGTGGTGAGGAGCGCCGAGCTGTGGGTCCACCCAGCCAAAATACTTTGGTTGGTACAGATCGGTCGAGACTAACAGCCGTAGGCATGACCCTCGTCGTCCAGAAATACGCCAACAGTGGCCATACCAGCCGCATTCGATACTCCAGCTGGCGCGATCCTGCCAGCATACGATCGGGCGCCTTATGGGGATCGAGAAACACCAGATATGCAAGCATATGCTAGCAGATGCTAGCAGGTGCGCGATCTCGGAGGAGCTGTTACGCCCATAGGCCGAGTCGACTTAAGAGGCACCTCGACGCAACCCGAATACAGACTCGCGTGGATACTTGCCGACCTAATGGGGGGATAATGGTCGTCGTGCTCTTGCCCAAATGCGCATGAGCGTGGACGCCAGCGTGATGGCCGAGTGCCCCTATCTGGCTTGGGAAACCGCAGCATGACGTTGATGATGCGCTGGGGCGGCCAGTTCAGCAAGGTCTCGCACTGAATGACAGGAGCGCGAACGCCTGCAGCCACTGGGCCCTCGGGTGCAGCTTGCTCTGACCAACTGCCATCCGCGCGCGGAACGTGAGGATGATTTGATGATTCTGTCCACCGAATGGTGGAAGCTCTTTCCACTCAGCTGCACCGCCAGGTAGCTGCATCAAAGGAGCCTCGTGCTGTGACCGCAGCTGTTCCCGCTCGTCCATGGCCTTGTCGGCGAGGATTTCCGGGTCCACCAGGGCCGTGGGCCCGATGAACTCGAGCATCTGCTGCAGCTTGGTGGCCTTCTGCGCGGCACTCGCCCCATTGCTGAATGCGTCGTCGACCCACTTTCGCCATCGCTTAGCCGCCGCACCGTCATGGAGTGTCTGGAGGTCCTTGCAACTGTAACACGCGACCAGGTAGACCACGCGCTGCTGGACCAGCAGGTGCAAGCCTGAGTTGAAGAGCCCCACCACATCGCCAAACACATCCTGCCACACGTGCTTGGCCTTGTAGATGCGCTAGGATTGTGGATGCCACGGAAATGGACACCCTAACAATCCGATCATTAAATGTAAAGTGTGTCCAACATGTCGGAAACATGTTCTAAACATGCTTTCAGCATGTGTGATCACATGTTCAAAACATGTCTTAACACATGTTTTAGACATCTGGAAATCATTTGGCAACATGCTTCCTCTCCATTGATCGTCCTCCACAACGCTAGGGAGGAGGGAGGAGGCGGAGGCGGAGGTGGAGGAGGGAGGGGTCGTCGCCGCCGTCGCCGCTGCCGCGCCGAGGAGGCCTCCGCGCCTCGTCGCCGTGGGCCGCGGACCGCAGGTGCGCCAGGGCCGCGGACACCGCGTCGGCGGGGGTCACCAGCAGGTCGTGGAAAGGGCCAGAGAGGTCCAGGAAGCCTCGGGCCGCGGGTGGCTGGTGATGACTAGCTACCAGACCACCCCAACCCAACTCGAAGACCCGACTTTCGGCTTGGGGGGGGGGGGAGGGTTCCACATGTGGTTTTTCGATGTTCCCCGACACCCCCCCCATGGAAGTCGAGGGGTTGAGGCCTTCGGGTTGGGCTGGGGTGGTTTGGTGGGCGGTGAGGTGAGGGTGCTGATGGTGACTTGTAAGCAGAGTCGGGGTTAAGGGGTGGGGGTAAGGCACCGTCGTCTCGCAGTGCGATTATATATATACATATATATATGCACACATATAAATATATACAGTAACGCTTGGCGTCCAAAGGCCCTGACGTGAAGACAGGCAGCCCTCAACGAGTGTCCTGACGAGGTGGGTCAGGTTACACCGAATTCAGATTGTCAGCCAGGTGGCACCATGTGAGGTGTGTCAGGGTAATCCGAATTCTGCGACCTCGTGCCGCACAATAGATATGATAGACGTTCCGCGTCCCTTGCTGCTGTGGAGCGATCGCCGCGGCAATACATCTTGTCTTTGGTCAAAAAGTGTTACGCTCACCTGTGGTGTCGCCGCTCCCCCAAGAGTACGCGCTCTCCTCCCACGCGTGCTGGCATGTCTGCAACTCTGGCAGGGGTGCCTGGCCTATGAATCGTCCCTCGGTCGAGCAAATTAACGCACCCTCGAACCGGCCTCCCACCACAGCGGCGGGAGGAGGGACTCGCCGAAACTGCTCGGCTGAGGTGGGTCAACCCACCTCTGCACCCCCAGGGCAGTGTAAAAGGAAAGGATTCATATTTCTCTTCTCAGGAACTGGACCTGGATGTCGGGCTGGCGGACCGTGCTCGTCGTCGCCGCCCCGTCGACGACAGTCGTCTGGGCCTTGGTGGCGGACTGGCGGCTCCGTGCTCGCCTTCGCCGCCCTGTCGCCGCCTCGTCGCCGCTCCGTCGCTGCCCAGATTATACATCATATATTCTCCTTTCTAAAAAGAGAATATAGACTCTACCCCCCCCGGACTTAACGCTTCCCCCTGGGATAGTATAGTTTCATATATATATATATAGTCTGCACACACGTCCATCCGAACTATGAAATCGTACCATCCCAGGCAGGCCGGTTTCCCCCCCCCTGAGGGTCCCTTCTAAAAAAAACACTATGCGGTGACATTTTTTGTTCTAACTCAGCACTTGTTCACGAATCCCCTGCAAGAGCATGCAACGAAGTGCACACGCGCGCGTCGTCGCGCGCGCATGCCGGAATCCTTCAGAAACCTTCGGTGCCGGAAGGATTTCGCAATCGAGTTTCAAATAAAAATTCAAAAACACAAGGTTTCGCAGCACTGATTTGCTAAGAAAGCTTCCGCGCGAGCTCTTGCGAAATCTTTAGAAAACCATCGGTTTTTTCAAGATTGTCACAAAATGATACCAAACGGGCTTCGCGCGCGCATGTCGAAATCTGTCGAACGGCCTTGCGCATGTGCCGTCGCGAGAATCCTCTGCAAAAAAAAAAAAACGAAGTGCAGACGCGCGCGTGGTCGCGCGCGTATGCCGAAAACCTTCAAAACCCATCGGTGTCGGAAGGACTTCGAAATCGCGCGTCCAAAAAAAATACAAAAAAAACCAAGGTTTCGCAACACGGATCTTCAACAAAAGCGTGCGCGCGCGCTCTTGCGTCGTCGTCGTCGTCGTCGTCGTCGCCGTCCTCCCTCCTCCCGCGTCGTTGAGGTCGTCGTCGTCGCCTACGTCGTCCTCTGTCTTTCCTCGTGTTCGTCGTCGTCGTCCTCTTTGGCGTCGTGGTCGTTTCCGTCGTCGTTGTCGCCGTGGTCGTCCTTCCTCCTCCTGCCTCGTCGTCGTCGTCCGTCGTCGGCGTCTCGTCGTCGTCCCTCCTATTTCGTCGCCGTCGTCGTCGTCGTCGTCGTTGTCGTCGTCGTCGTCTTCCCTCCTCCCTCGTCGTTGCGTCGTCGGCGTCGCCGTCCTTCCTCCTTCTTCGTCGTTCGCGTCCTCGCCGTCCTCCCTCCTCCCTCGTCGTTGTCGTCGTTGTCGCGTTGTCGCCGTCGTCATCCTCCCTCCTCCCTCGTCGTCGTCTTCGTTGGCGACGTCGTCGTCGTCTTCGTCGTCGTCGTCGGCGTCGGCATCGTCGTCGTCTTCGTCGTCGTTGTCGGCGTCGTCGTCGTCGCCGCCGCCGTCGTCGTCGTCGTCGGCGTCGTTGACGTCGTCGTCGTCGTCGTCGGCGGCGTCGTTGTCGTCGTCGGCGTCGGCGTCGTCGTCGTCGTCGTCGTCGGTGTCGTCGTCGTCGTCGTCGTTGTCGGCGTCGTCGAAGTCGTTGGAGACGTCGTCGGTGTCGTCGTAGTCGTTGTCGGCGGCGTCGTCGTCGTCGTTGTCGCTGTCGTCGTCGGCGTCGCTGTCGCTGGCAAGTGCCATGTGGTAACCACCATCACGGTCTTAAGAGATTTTGCGAACCAAGTTGCGGGTGGGTGGGTGGGGTGCTTGCGCGAGCAGTGGAGTTGTCAAGCGCGGTGCAGGGTAGTCAATTGCATAACATAAACTGCACCACGTATATCGCACCGCATGGATTGCACCCCGTCGATTGTATCACATCGATTGTACCACATATATTCTCCTTTCTAAAAGCAGAATAGACTCTACCCCCCCCGCCCCGGACTTAACGCTTCCCCCTGGGATAGTATATATATATATGTGTATATATATGTATATATATATATATAGTCTGCACAATCGTCCATCCTAAATATGAAATCATACCATCCCAGCTAGGCCGGTTTCCCCCCTGAGGTTCCCTGGTAAAAAAAAAAAAACACTACGCGGTGACATTGTTTGTTCTAACATAACACTTTGTCCACGAATCCTTTGTCACAAATGCAACGAAGTGCGCACGCGCGCGTCGTCGCGCGCGCATGCCGGAATCCTTCAAACAACCTTCGGTGCCAGAAGGATTTCGCAATCGAGTTTCCAAAAAACTATACAAAACACAGGGTTTCGCAACACTGATTTGCTAAAAAGGCTTCCGCGCGAGCTCTTGCGAAATCTTAAGAAAACCATCGGTTTTCCAAGTTTGTTACAAAATGCTACCAAACGGGCTTCGCGCGCGCATATGTCGAAATCTGTCGAACGCCGTTGCGCGTGTGCCGTCGCGAGAATACCCTGCAAAAAACGAGACGAAGTGCAGACGCGCGCGTCGTCGCGCGCGTATGCCGAAAACCTTCAAAACCCATCGGTGTCGGAAGGATTTTAAATTCGCGCGTCCACAAAACCTACAAAAACCCAGGGTTTCGCAACACGGATTTTCAACAACAGCGTGCGCGCGCGCTCTTGCGTCGTCGTCGTCGTCGCCTTCCTCCCTCCTCCCGCGTCGTTGTCGTCGTCGTCGTCGTCGCCTACGTCGTCCTCTGTCTTTCCTCGTGTTCGTCGTCGTCGTCCTCTTTGGCGTCGTGGTCGTTTCCGTCGTCGGTGTCGCCGTGGTCGTCCTTCCTCCTCCTGCCTCGTCGTCGTCGTCCGTCGTCGGCGTCTCGTCGTCGTCCCTCCTATTTCGTCGACGTCGTCGTCGTCGTCGTTGTCGTCGTCGTCGTCTTCCCTCCTCCCTCGTCGTTGCCGTCGTCGGCGTCGCCGTCCTTCCTCCTTCTTCGTCGTTCGCGTCCTCGCCGTCCTCCCTCCTCCCTCGTCGTTGTCGTCGTTGTCGCCGTTGTCGCCGTCGACATCCTCCCTCCTCCCTCGTCGTCTTCGTTGGCGACGTCGTCGTCGTCTTCGTCGTCGTCGTCGGCGTCGGCATCGTCGTCGTCTTCGTCGTCGTTGTCGGCGTCGTCGTCGTCGCCGCGCTCTGTCTTTCCTCGTGTCGTCGTCGTCGCCTACGTCGTCGTCGTCGCCTACGTCTTCGTCCGCGCTCGTCGTCGTCGCCTACGTCGTCCTCTGTCTGTCCTCGTGTTCGTCGTCGTCGTCCTCTTTGGCGTCGTGGTCGTTTTCGTCGTCGTTGTCGCCGTGGTCGTCCTTCCTCCTCCTCCCACGTCGTCGTCGTCGTCGTCGTCGTCCGTCGTCGGCGTCTCGTCGTCGTCCCTCCTATTTCGTCGCCGTCGTCGTCGTCGTCGTCGTCGTTGTCGTCGTCGTCGTCGTCTTCTCTCAACCCTCGTCGTTGCCGTCGTCGGCGTCGCCGTCCTTCCTCCTTCTTCGTCGTTCGCGTCGTCGCCGTCCTCCCTCCTCCCTCGTCGTTGTCGTCGTTGTCGCCGTCGTCGTCCCCCCTCCTTCCTCGTCGTCTTCGTTGGCGACGTCGTCGTCGTCTTCGTCGTCGTCGTCGGCGTCGGCGTCGTTGTCGTCTTCGTCGTCGTCGACGTCGTCGTCGTCGTCGTCGCCGCCGTCGTCGCCGTCGTCGTCGTCGTCGGCGTCGATGACGTCGTCGTCGTCGTCGGTGTCGTCGTTATCGTCGTCGTCAGCGTCGTCATCGTCGTCGTAGTCGTTGTCATCGTCGTCGTCGTCGGCGTCGGTGTCGTCGTCGTCGTCGGTGTCGTCGTCGTCGTCGTCGTCGTCGTTGTCGGCGTCGTCGAAGTCGTTGGAGACGTCGTCGGTGTCGTCGTAGTCGTTGTCTGCGGCGTCGTCATCGTCGCTGTCGCTGTCGTCGTCGGCGTCGCTGTTGTTGCCAAGTGCCATGTGGTACCCACCGTCACGGTCTTAAGAGATTTTGCAAACCAACTTGCGGGTGGGTGGGTAGGATGTTTGCGCGAGCAGTGGAGTGGACAACTCACTGCGAACAGAACCATACGGAATGCAACACATCTATTGTGCCGCGTCGATTGCACCAGATGTCCCGCAATCGCACAACATAGACTGCACAACATCGATTGCACCACACATATTCGCAACACAGATTGTACTAGAACCACGCGCGCGGTTCGGTTCTAGCGCAGCCTCACAGGATTGGATGACGATGGATATCGTCCTGCAATGATCACCAGATGGGATTGCGCATCCTGATCGACGCCTCAGGAAACTGTGAATGCTGTATAAGCAGGCCGTCAGAGATTCCGCTGCGCTGAGCAGGTACACCGAGCACCGGCCCGAAAGAAACTTTTGAGAGGTTTCTGGAGGCTCGCGGTCTGTGGACCATCTTAGGCAGTCTTGAAGATCTCCTCGGTGTGTCGAGAGCCCCTCGGACTATCTCGGATGTGTGTTTGGAGGTCCATTGGTTACATTTGGGCCAATATTTGGCAATTCGAACCATTGAAAGGCATCCAGAGTCATTCGAAGCCGTCTTGGGAGCGGCCTTGGGGGTCCCTTAGGCCGTATTGCGTCTTGCTGGGAAGCGTTAAGATGTTGCGCTGCACACGGTGCTCGACAGATGACGCGCCTAATGCGTCCTCGCGCGCACCGGAGCGTATCGACTTCAGCCCAACAACGAATCGTCAGGATTTGTCAAACTATTGGGATCCTCGGGGTCCCTCGCCAATCACAGGGTATCGCTCAGGAGTCCTCAAGACTCCCGAGGGAAACCTCAAGTTTCCCCATCAGAGCCCTCATGATCCCGGTGGCAATCCTGAGCCTCCGTGGAAAAATCTCGGGCTTTTCTGCGGCATCCTGCGAATCCAGAGTCCTCAGGCCTCCAGAAAAATGCCCAGGCTGTCCTAATGCATTCCCGTCCCCGCCCCCCCCCGCTCTGCTCTGCCACATGCCCTCCCTCTTCGCGCCCCCCCCCCCACCTCCCTGCCCTCTCTCTCTCTCTTTCTCTTTCTCTCTTTCTCTCTCTATCTCTTTACAGTGATCGGCCTGACCTAAGGAACGATATATAAATAAGGAACTAAGCCCCTTGTCTTCCAAGGAATAACGCAGAAGGAACGATGAGTAATACATAGCGCATAAGGAACGATAAATGACGCATGCACGCCTAAGGAACGACCGAGCCCTTTTTAACAAGCAAGTTCTCCTTATTCCAGCCGCTCACTGTATTCATCCTTGCCCCCTCCCCCCGGCGAAGGGGGGAGGGGACGAACAGACATCATATACCGCTGCTCCTTAGATCTCTGCCTGGGTGCGTTCCGGCCACGAATTCGGAGCGAACCATGCCGTGACAATGATATATCTCCACGGCGAGCAGCCGTGTGGATACCTCGTCCTCGTCTGAGTCCCACCAAAAAATCCCCAATGTAGGTACCACTCCCATCTCCCCCGAAAATGGCCAGGGAGTGGTCCGGCCCCCCTCCCCGCGAACGTTGCTCACAGGAAAGCACAGATGATCTTTCCTACGTGTTTGCTCCATCGGAACTTCTTCGGAATCTTAAAATGGTTCCCGCTGCAGCGCCTTCCTCATTTCAAGGATCGCCACTTTGCTCTCATCGTTCAGAATGGTGCTCTCGCCACTGCGCGGGCCACTGTTCTGGATCTGAATGCTTCCTCAACGTTGTCGCCCCGCACATTTGCCCTCCCCCGTCTCCCCGGGTCATCCTACTCTCCCACTTCTCCCGCTCCTGTTCCTGCTGCAGCAGTTCAGAAATTATCGTCGTCCTCCTTCTTCCTTCTTCTTCCCACAGCCCTGAGGGACCAACGTCTGAGGTGTCCACACATGCATACGTCAGCGGTGAGATAGGCGGCAAGTATAGCGGGGGACGAGGAGAGCAGCAATGGCCAACATCAACCCGACTCGCAATACACATCGAGCGGGGCATATAGATGGGCAACTGACGCCTCTAGCCATGCATCCCCAGGAAGCGTGGGGGCACAGCGTTGTGAGGCTGCCTGCGTGATAACAGCAGCTACGTGGAACTCCACCTGGCTGCTGTCAGGAGGGGCCAAGATCGGCACGGCATTCATGCACAGGCACTGACGGTCCCCAACGGGCACACAGCTCGACGTGGTGGTCGGAAACGTTGCCTGTAGGGAGCATAGGAACCTGACCTCGGGGACCTTCCAAATGCAGGGCAAGTTGGCTTGCGGAGCAGGTGGGTTTAAAATGAGCACGGTCGCCAGGCCCGAGGACGCCGCACACAGCGCCAGCGTCAGTGCCGCCCGCAGGCACGCACTGTCGAGTTCCAGCTGCTTCCACTCCGAGGGAGACCTGGCTGAAATCCCCCATGGCTCATCGCAGCTCCTTAAAGGCCTGCTTTCACCACCCTTGGCTTTGCAGCGGGGGGCGGGGTCCCACGAGGAAAAAGAGAAAATCCGTCACGAGACCAATAACACGCCCAGCTAGAATAAGATCAGTAATGAACAACAGCTCCTTGTGAAATCCCTCTATGGAGTTCTGGACAGGCTCGAAAATATTAAGAGACAAAACAAAAACATTCATGCCCGCTATGGCGCTGGACTTCTCCGCTCTATCCTGGATGTCGCCTTGACTCCTGGGAGCTGTACGGAGGATCATAATGTACTTAGTACCAGGGGCCGCGGGCAGGTGGACCTCCGCCTGAGCGGGCATCTCTTCCTGGATACACACTGGTTGGCAAGATATTCTCGGCATGCTAGTGGGGAGGCCCTTGGAGGCAGCCGCCCCCCTCAGCCTAGGGCCTGTCGTGAGGACAGGCGGCAGCTGCGCTGACTCCGCATAGTGGCCTTTCTCTCGGAGCGTGCGTGCTAGCGCCGCGTCCTCCGCCTTAACCGCCATCACCTGTTCGGGGCTCAGCGGGGGGATGACGGCCATAAGGTCCGCCAAGCACTTCGATGAGCCATGCCGAACGTGTTTGAGCAATCTTAGGTGCGCGTGGAAGTTGAGACCGCATGCCATGCACACTGTGCCTGGAACGTAGCTGGGGGCGGGGTCAATGCGGGGGTGGCACTTCGAGCGATGGGAGGCCCATGCGCCCTTGGTGGCCAACACCACCCCACAATCCAAGCAAGGATACAAGGCAAGAACCGACGGCGGACGCAAAAACGACGGGAGCACAAGACCCTTGGCGATGCAGAACTTCCGCCACCCGTCCTCATGACGCTGATCGTCCAAAAATTTGGCCCTGGCAGCCGATTCTGCTTGCTTGCAGATTCGCTTCCAAAACTTGTTGCTGCTTGACCTCAGGAGCCACAGCCACCACGCAGGGGGCCCTGATGGTAAGAATTCCCTGGCTAGATTCACATGTCTGCTGAACCACAACAGGTCATCGCAACACAATGCGGACCATGATTCGGGCACTGAAGCTAGCTCGTCCAGGACCGCCATCAGACAAGCAGGCGCCGATTTGAGAAGCCTGGGAAGAAATCGCAGCCGCCTGAGCCTCAACACCAGCTCGACGGGCATGATCTCACACTTGACAAAAACTCTATGGTCTGCAGCAGCCTTACCAAAACTAGAACCGTACCCGAGACCGGCCGCCAATCTAAACGGTCTCAAATAGTTGTGCACCAGGGTCGCCATCTGTTTGACGTTTAACTTGTGCCAAGTGAGGGCATTAAACAGAAGGTGCGACGTGCACAAAGAAGTAACATAAAGTAACTTGGCTCTTAAATGGATTTGCTTCCTGGGGAAAACCGTGCGCCTCAGTACCCCTAGAGGACGTCGCTGCTGATGACAGCGGTGCGCCAGCTCGGGCCCCAGAGAAATTCGATGGTCCTGGTAGCTTCCCAAGTGTTTGTAGGTTCTCGTGAGGCACAGGGAGACGCCTAAGGAAGGGACGAGAAGACCAGTGGCAGCCAAGGCCGCACACTCCCCTCGTGCCTTCCTGGAACCTGTGCCGCTGAAGAAGGCCATGAGCGCCGTCTTGCCCGCCTTCCAGTTCATGGTGAATCCCCTAGACTTGGTTTCTTCGTACATGATCGTGACGAGGGCGATGGCCGCCTCCTTCCAGAGCCTAGCGTTTAACAACTCGATGCCGTTGACGAGGTCATCCATGAAGGCGGGATCCCATACATCTTCCTCTAAATGCTCGTGCTCGCGACCTCTGAAAATCCTCTGAGACGGGTCCACATCCTTAGTCTTCTGAAGATACCCCAGAGATCCTAATCTACTATTGACCGCGATGATGATTGGGTCGAAGGCTATGATGAACAGGAGGTCTGCTAGTGGCATGCCTGGCCTCGTACCTAGGCGGGGGGAGACAACCCTGGTGCTCCCCCGTACTTGGAACCAGTTGCATTCCATCACGTCAACCACTGTTTCCAGGAGGTGCTTATTTGCAAGTCCGTCCAGAGCGCCAGGCTTGGCGACTAGGGCATGGCATAGAGGCTCCAGACAACTTGGTATCTCCAAGTCCGCCAGCGTGTTTTGGATGTCCTCGCTGTTCTGGGCCATTCTGGCAACGAACCCTCGGATGACCGAATAGAATGCCGCATTTAGATCAGTGTACAACGACAGGTATGTGCGCTTCCTAGCCTTGGCAGCCATCATGGCCGACCGAAGATGCAAGGATGCAATGTCAGTGCCACGTTGAGGGAGAGTTCCCTGCTGGACCACCGACAGCATGGTCACCGATGCCTTTAGCAATTTACTTCTGAGGAAGGCATGGTGCAACTTCGCCGTGTCCTTCTTCCTCATGCTCCTCCTCCTCCTCCTGCTCCTTTTCATTATGCTCATCATCTTGCTGATGCGTCATCTTCTCCTCCAATGTTCTCAACACAACTTTTCTGGTTGCGCACAAGATTATTGCGTCCTGTTTGGAAGTCCGAGATCGGCTGTGACAACCGTGGGCTGATATAGAACAAGCACAACGCCAAGGGACGGGATGAGCGTGTGAGGAGGAGGTAGGATATCAAGTATGGCGCGATCGCACCTAGCTTATCCAATACCTCTATCCCGTCCCCCCCCCCGCAGCTTCCGCCAAAGCTGCCTCCATTCAGGAGCCACTGTGTGTTGCCGTGTGCCCCGTAGGTGTTGAACACCTCCTCGCCCGCTGAGATGTCGTCCTCCGCCCGCGGTTGCTTAGCCACCCAAGGGCCAGGGAGGCGCAAGAGAAAACAAACTTACCTGGTAGGGTTACTCAATCCATCTGGATCAATTGCCAATGAATCGCTGGGCGCATGCCAAATAGACAATGAGCAATGGCGGCCAACTGGTGAGGGCGACGATATTCGTAAAGGCAAGGTAGGGGTGGGCATATGCGTTGCACGGCCCCCGTGACAGATCTGATGATGTACCGAATGATCTGGCATGGGTGAGACAAAGACGGAAGGACGCACACGACGGCAAGACGAAAGGACTCACTGCTCCCTCCTTCTCTTCCTCCTCCTCACCATAAGAACCACCACTATCATCACCATCACCATCACCACCACCACCACCATCATCACCATCAGTATCATCATCACCATCGGCAGCAACATACCAATCATCATCAGTATCACCATCAGCAGCATCATCACTATCATCATCATCATCATCATCATCATCATCATCATCATCATCATCATCATCATCATCATCGTCGTCGTCATCATCATCATCATCATCATCATCATCATCATCATCATCGTCATCGTCATCGTGGTCGTCATCGTCATCACCAACACTATTACCATCACCACTACCATGATCATCACAACAACAACCATTTAAGACGGTTCGCTTTTATGGACTCACGAATCGACCAACAAGACTCCCGCAAACCCTCGGAACAAACCCTGTTCGTTTTTGATCGTACCCCCTTTGGGGGGATAGCCTCTTTCCCTGCCACGCGTAATTGGCACAACCCTTGAAACAGGAAGAACATAACAAATGGAAACGGGAGAGAGCGAGGAGAAAGGGAGTGGAGCAAGGGAGGGAGGAGGGAAGGGGACAAAAGGGAGTAATAACATGGAGGACGAGGGGGGTTAGCAAACGGAGATGGCAAGGACATTTCAGGCGAGAGCAACTCTCCTGAATAAAAGATGACGATATCTTGAGCGCGAACGCGATTCCAAAACGCCGAGAAAGCGACTCGTGCATACAGTATAAGGAAGTCTCAGGCGAGAACGCGAGTCTTGCAAGGAAATCCTGATCGGAATCTCGAATTCTAGACATTGTCACGACTGTTCGGCGGGAGCCGTTGTTGTGGTAAACCGGAGGCCAACGAGAAAGTTTAGCCCCTGGAACGGCACTTTAATAAAGAACAAAGGGTACACCGGAGGGGAGGGATCCATAAAAATTCAACAAACAATGCTTGCACTGAGGGGTTCTTGCTCGTGCTCTAAGGTGCTTCACCTGTGTGGCGGTCCAGCGGCTGACGTCGCCGTCGCCACCCCGTCGTCGACTCGTCACCACCCGTCGTCCGGGCCTGAGTGGAGGTCTGGCGGCTATGCCATCGCCGTCGCCGCCCCAATCGTCGCCCGTCGTCCGAGACTTTGTGGCGGTTTGGCAATTGTGCCATCGCCGCCCTGTCGACCGCACAATTCACAATTGTACTGCATAGATTCCACACCGTAGATTGCGCTACGTGGACTGCATTTCAGAGTCTGCACAACAGATATGTCACCACGCGGAATGCACAACATTCGTTCACAGCATAGATCCGCCACCGTGCCTGCACGAAATGGGCGTGTCAAAATGCGCTGCGCTGTCTGGTGGGAGGTTGTGCAAGAATTTTTGAAGGACCCCGCCTCCCACGCGCGCCCCCGAAACAACGCCCTCTTGAAATTGCTGTTTGTTGGTTTGTTCGGCCTCCAAGCGGCCAAAACGGCAACCAATACGGCTTCCAATATGGCCTAGACGACAAGACATCGGCCTACGATGGCCCAAGATAGCTCGAGCGACTCTCAAGAAAACCTCAATACGGCTTAGAATCGTCCAGAAAAAAGGCCCCAATACGGCCCAAAAGGCCCCAAGGTGGCCCGAGAGAGCCCCAAGACGCCTCACTGGATAGTCAGAGGGGGCCAAGCAAACGGATTCTCCGTAAGTGTTCGAAAACGTTTGAGGTTCGCGCCTGCGCGGGCTTCCGACCACCCAGCACGGCCCATGAAACTTCTAAACTCGAATGTCTCCAGCGTGGATTCAAGACAACCCAAGAGGCCCCGGACTCGGTCCACGTGGACACAACGATCGCCCAAAAGGCTCTCAAAGATGGCATCCAAACGGCCTTGAAACGGTCCAACACAACAGCAAGCCGGAGGGTGGGAGCGAAATCCTTGTCCACCGTGGTTTAGGAATGAAGCCCGAAGTTCATAATCGGCAGATGATACACTATGGATTATTGTCCTGTGAATGGATCGGGCGCAACCCCCCCCGGCCCAATCATTACCTTTCCGGAATAAGCAACCTAAGTTAATACTCCAACATTATGAACCAAGGTTTATTTCAGGCCAGAACGTACCCCCAAACGGCGCCCCACAGGCTGAATCATTTTCATTCCAAACAAATTATCCCAGGGTCCATAACCCGGGAACATTATGATTCCGGGTATATGATCCCCTGGAGATAATGAGCCTGGGGTCAATAAGCCGACATGGAAAACCGAGTGAGGAACCCAAGGATTGGGGGGAACATAATAATTAGTATCATTCTGGAATGACGAAAACCGAGTTCATCATTCCCGGTACATTGTAAGCCCCAGTCAATATTTCTGGAACATTACGAAGCCAGGTTATAATTTTTGGGGTCGATATCCCCAAACATTGATAAACCACAATGTACTATGTTGCGGGGGGAAAATTTTGAACCCCAATCAATATTCCCAGGACATTGAAACCCAGGTTCATAATGTTCCGGGCGAGACATTATGAACCCTGGTCAAGAATCCCAGAACATTATAAGTCCATGTTAATGTCCATTTGAGGGCCATCCTGGCAAGCCGGCCCAGAGGGAGCCTCTTGGGCTGTCTTAGGCGGTCGGAAGCCCAAACCTGTCAATATCTTAAGAGCCTAAGTGTGCCCATTTTGTTCGGGCCCTCCTGTAGGGCCCCCTGGGCCGCCTGGAAAACCACGCGGTCTGTCTCGGGGCCTTCTTGGGAAACCCACTGCCTCCAGGGCAGCTATGAGGCAGCCGGAATGACGATAAGATGGGCCAGTGTGGCCCACGACGGCTCAAGAGGCTCCCAAGACAGCCTCGGGCCCTATCAAAAAAAATGGAGATGGCTCAAGAGGCCCTCCGGGAGAGCTCGAGGAGCCAAAACCATTGATGTTCCTCCGGGTCCTGCGATATGTTGAAGCTATCACCGGTTCGGGTTTCCGACCGCCCATCAGGGCCCACGGTGCCTCCAAGAGGCTTCCAATATAGCTCCACGACATCCCAGGAGGCCCCCAAGACGGCCCGAAGTCGGCCCAGGAGGGCCTACGCATCGCCCAAGGAGCCCCAGAGAAGGCCCCAAGACAGCCGCGAACCGCTAGCACCAACGCGGCTTAGAGATGCCCCCGAGGCCCCCACATGCGCCAGACGGGCCAGGTCTCCCCGTGACGGCGCACGAGGCCCCACGAAGCCCCATGAGCTCCATGGAGGGCCCCAGGAACCCCCGAAGAAGCCTCCCCGACCTCATCTGCAGTGTCTTCCTCTCGATTGCTTCGCGACCGTCGATGTCTTCTCCGCGGGCCAGACGCGGCCCGTCAGGGCGCGGCAGTCTGGGGGCCCCGACGACTGCGGGGACGGCGGGCGCCCCGTTCTGCAGCCGAAGAACACGCAGCGAAACTTCTGGCCTTTTTCTTCCCGTCCGCGACGCGTTCCCCTCATCCGCCCCGAGGTCGCTCTGGCGGGAGCTGGGCCGTTTCTTCTCGTGCCTCTCGTCGCTCAGCCTGGCCGCGGCGTGGCCGCGCGCGAGCCACCTGCGCATCGCGCCCAAGATCAACTCCTGGCCAACGCTCCCCTTCGAGCTGGGGCCGGCCCTCAGATCGCGAATCTCGCGCCAGGTCACGCCGAGGATTTGCTCGGCGCGGAGCTGGTCGGATAGCCGCCGTAAGTGGCCTGCCGTGCCGCCTTCCGCCGGTGGGCGCGCAAGATGCCCGGCGAAAGCCGCGCAGATGGACATCCCTTCCACGACCAGAGTTCCGGGATGGCATAGCCCCCGTGCCCCCCCTCAGCTTCCCGACCTCCCCGGCTTAGACTGGGGCCCAGATTATCTCGCGGGGCGCGAGGAGGTGGGCCGGCGAGCCGCCAGCTGCGCCGCGCGCGGCAAGCGGCTCGGGGCCGAACGGAGACCTACGCGCAATGCTGCGCGATCGGCTCACGGCGTCTAGCAAAGGCAAACCCCTCGCCAGTGCTGCGGCGCTTGCCGAGACGCATGTAGACGGCGCCTGCCGCGCCGCCCCCCGCCCCCCCTCCCGTTTGAAGGGTCCGTCGCTGCGCGCGCAGATCTGGCCAGCGCGTCCAGCGGCGGGCAAGGCGATCCGCGCCTCGATCTGCAGCGCGGCGAGGACCGCAAGATGGAGCTGCGAAATTGGCGCGCCATATAATCGGCCTGCCATTGGCCCGCTGCAGCGCCGCAGTGCGCGCCCGCGACGCGATGCTGGGCGAGCAGCGCGTCGGCGGCGCCCCCAGCAGGAAGAGGTCGGTCGGCGTTCGCCATGGCCAGGCAGGCATGCCTGATCTGTAGAAGGGCGTCGATGCACTCGCCCAGGTCGAGGGCCGCGGCGCCGTCGGCGCCCCCGTGCTGCCGCAGTTGGCGAAGTAGCCATAGTCACCCGTCATCTGGCCGAAACGTTCTCGACGTGGCCGGCGAGCTTGCGGGCGCGCACCTTGTGCCCGGCGATCTTCAGACAATCGACGCCCTTGGTCAACGCGAGCACATGCATTGAGCCGCAAACAACACGAATGCTGGACGCCCCAAACTGGACCTCGAGCACCGGGCACTATCTGGTAGGTTTTGGCGCTGCACTCTGGGCGCCTGCCCCAGGCAAGGTTCGTGAAGAAAGCTCGGCGCGCGCCCTTGCAGCCTGCGCCCAGCTCAACGCAGCGCGGGAGCTCGGTCCTCTTGGCGATGGACACGTAGGCAGACACCTGCCGCAGGATAGCTGCACTGCCGGGCGGCGGGGGCGCCCACGGCGACGGAGACCCAGCCTGGGCGGCGAGCCGCATGAGGACCGCGCGCGCCGCGAGGCTCGTTTGGCTGGCACCGCAAATGCAACCAGGGCGCCGGCGCCCATGTCGCGGAAGCCTCTGAGCACGAATTGCTATCGGATGATTCGCGCGGTCTTGCCGTCGGGGCCCTTCTGGGTCTTCCACTTGAGGGCGCGGCGGCAGCCCATTGCGCGTGGGCGCCCTTGTGCGGACGCCGCCCGAGAAATTTGCACCCGGCCAAGATGGTGAGCTTCTCGCACGTGGCCGCGAACAGACTTGGACAAAATGGACACCCTTTCTTTGTCAGGAGATTGGCGTCGCGCTTAATGACCACGGTCTTGACGGCTGCCCAGGAATCGCTGGTCAAACAAATGCTGAACGCTTCCTCGTTGGAGCTAAGGAATGTTTCGCGCGCCCCTGGGTCGAGGTGCAACTCCGCGTCTTTTCTCGACCGTCCGCCTCCTCTAACGTGGCGTAGTCATACAATGCAAAGCGGCGCCGCGCAAGTAGTAGTGGCGCTGCGCGAAGATGCCCTGGCGCTAGTGCTGCATCTCGAGGCAGTGGAGCTGCTCGCGTGGCCGGCGGCCCGGAGCGGCGTGCTGGACAGCAGCGTGGATCATCTGCTGGCTGTCGTCGCTCTCCAGCGCCTCCAACTCCTGGGCGAGGTTTGCTGCCCCGTCGAAATCACGCCAAGCGGCTAACATCACATGCTGGATGTGGCAGGAGAAGTAGTTGCCAGTCTCCTCAGGCATGGCCGACAGTGTTGAAGGAAATCCCCCCATCAGCGATGCTGACAGCGTCCTCGAAAAGTTCGATAGCATCGCCATCGAACACTCCACCTGGGTCCTGTCCAGTGTCTGGAGCCATAGGCGTCTCGTCACCCAAAGTGAACTGGATAATACGGGCGCCTGTGCACTATTCGCCGACGAGCGCCTGAATGTCGAACTTGACGCCACCCTAATGAATCTGCCGAAAGTTCCTTGTACCACCCACGACTAGGACGCGGGTGAAACATGGCCATTCTTCCACACATCTCTGGCAGACCAGTGGACGCGTGGCAAGAACGCCTGACAACATCTGCGGGACACGTGGGTCGAGCTCCGAGGGTGCCTGGGCGTTGCCGCGTCTGCACGGTCATCTGCACGCCCCTTGCGCCCTCGCAGTGGCCGAAGTTCAAAGTGCTGGAGCCTGGCATGACGTGCTCCATCGAATCCCCCACCCGCCCCCAGGCCGGGCCAGCTCAACTCAACGCGGTGCCCACGTCGACGAGGCTCCGATTCAGGGCCGGACGTCCTGCAGTCTGCAGACCTTGTCGGCGCGGCGGTACTTGACCGTTACCTTGCTGCTGGCCAGGTCGACGGACATGACAGTCCCATGGCCTGCCCCGCCTGATGCGCCTTTTGTGTTCGGAGGCCTGTGGATCTCCACCTTGTCTTTCCCGACTCGGTGGCGCGTGTTGGGAGGGCGCGGTGGACGCGGGAGAGAAACGCAGCGTCAATCATGTGTTGCAGAGCGATCTCTCGGACTCGCCACTGCAATGACCTGTGCTGCACTTCCCTAGCAGCAGGGGAGTCGGCACTGGCGACCATATCGCCGGATGCCTCGCCCGACTCGTCTACTTCCAGCGGTGGTAGCATAGCCGGCTGCCTCCCGAGGGCGATGTTGCATGGTGTGACGCCGCCAACGTGGGCGAGGAAACGGTGAAGGCGGAGGGAGGAGGACGCAGAACGCCGCAGAGAGCGAATACTAGTCCCAGAGCGAAGTCCAGAAGGATTGCAACAAAAAGGATTGCAACCCTTTTTGTTGCAATCCTTTTTTGCAATCCTTTTTGTTGCAACCCTTTTTTGCAATCCTTCGTGTTTGTTGCTATCCTTTGTTTTGTTTTTGCAGTCCTGAAGCGAAGTCCAGACAGCGTAAGACCGTCGTGCGCACAGCCAGAGGGGGCGTGCCAGGGGCAGGGCTGACCCTCACCGCCCAGGAAAAAGCAGCAAGTCAGGCAGAGGAGGGGACAGAGGATTGCAAAAAGGATTGCAAAAACACCAAGGATTGCAACAAAACACGAAGGATTGCAATCCTTCGTTTTTTTTGCAATCCTTCGTTCAAGGAAGGGTTTTTTTGCAATCCTTCATCCAGGGTTTTTTGCAATCCTGGGTTTTTTTGCAATCCTTCGTTCAGGGGAAGGGGGGAATCTGCACAGTCTACATCCACGGTAAGAGTACAAGATCCAGGGGCCTCGGTGCTGAAACGAGTTCAGCAGCACGCAGTCGTAAGACGAGGGAGGGAACAGACAAGGCTGCAAGGGCCGCCTTGATGAGGCATGGGACCCCCACTAGGGACTCTGACTGCACATGCCCCCAGAGTGCCACAGGGTGGTCTCAACGCCGTGGCCGAAGGGTTCTGAACGCCTTGGGGGCGTCGCCAGTGGCGGCGCAGGAATGTTGAGACCCCCCTGGGCTGCTGTGGATGTCAGGTGGGGCCAGCCTGGACTGCCCCATGGGGGCTGTCTGTGCGCGGCCCCACGCCTTGCCATACTGTGCGGTGGCACCCGGGCTCTTTTTTTGGAAGGCAGCAGATTCTGGGAGGTCTTCGTAGGGACGGCCGAAAAGCATTAAGCCAGAGCTGGGTGTCACCAGGCCAGATGAAGAATTCGACCAGACATTACGCGCTATTATAAGCGGGGCTGAGCGGCATCAGGCTTGACTGTGATAACTAGTCTGACTACGGTTATAGATCGATTAAGCCAAACATTGCCTAGACCAAACAAGCGGGTTAAGCTGGACTCGAGGATCTTAAGCCAGGTTGCGCCAACGTTCCCATAACGGCTACAGTATCGTCAATGCCGAATTGAACGTCCGAGGAATTGAATACTACCCTTTCGCGCAAATCCACAGTCCTCCACGCAGAATCTCAGCACGTCCCCGCCGTCGCGCATCCTGCGCGCTGCGGTCCGCTTGCTCTTCTAATCGCCTCTGCACAGTGGGGGCCCGACCTCAAGAAACCTTCCACAAGAAACCCAACCCTGAGACCCCAGGACGTCCATCGATGTTTGTTTTGGGAGCGTCGCGCTTTCCACCGCAAAACCATCGAAACCCAAGACTCCCACGGCACCCTGGAGGCAAGCAGGGTGTTTCTTGGCATGGGTCTCCACTGTAATCGTGTTGCTATCGCCTCTTCGACGCGTCCGCCTTCTGCTCCTCCTCCCGCGCAGACCCCAGAGGCCCCCTCCCCCTCCAGAGAGCTCCTAGATGCCTCGAGAGGTCGCACCGATCAGCAAAAACATCGATCCGGCTGCCTCTCCGGCCCCGCCACTGCGCGGCACGCATTTGGCTGATCCAGTCAACTCACTCCACTACGCCATCAAGTACTCCAGATTTCGTAATGAAAGGGAGGGGGTCTGGACCCTCCAAGACAAGCCATTTCAGACCTCCCCCGTGGGAGAACCCTCCAAAACATCGTCCCCAGACCCCCCAGGCCCTCCAAGATAGCCTGGAAGAGACCCCCCCGAAATGAGACCCCCCTCCCTTTATTACGAAATCTGGAGTAGCGCTGCGAGTTACCTTATGTCACGGCGTGTGCTCCCGCAGCTGCCAGGTGATGGGCCGCTGCGGGGGGCTGTCGGGGCCGGCGAGGTCGTGGGGGTTGATAGGGGGTTGCTTGGGGGGGCCAGGTACGTACGTATGTATGAGGGTTGCTGATTTCGTGGTGGGGGTGCTCGCGGGGGTTGCTGGGGATCTGGGATGGTGAGGGGACTGCGGGCCCGCGTGCTTGCAGGGAGGAGGCAATCTACCACCGACCACTCCCCGATCCAGCGCCCTTGTAGGCCGTAAAGGGCCGTCCACGTCGCCGTCGTCGGCGTCGTGGGCGGCGTCGTTGCCGGCGTCAGCGGCGGCGGCGTCGTCGGCTATATCGGCGTCGGCGTCGTCGGCGGCGTCGGTGTCCGTCAGCATCGTCGACGTCGGCGTGGGCGTCGTCGGCGGCGTCGTCGTCGGTGTCAGCGACGGCATCGTCGCCGGCGGCATCAGCGTCGGCGTCGTCGGCAGCGTCGGCGTCGTCGGCCTCGTCGGCGTCGTCGGCGTCGGCGTGGGCGTCATCGTCGGCGTCGGCGTCGTCGTCGTCGGCGTCGGCGGCGTTGACGTCGGCGTGTGCGTCGGTGTCGTCGGTGGCGGCGGCGCCGTCTGCGGCCGGCCGCCGACGCGGACGCCTCGTGTGCGGGCCGCAGCCGCGGTGGTTGAGCGCGTCGGCGAACGGCGCGAGCACCACCCCCGCCTCCGTCGGTGTTTCAAGGGTGGGGTCTCCCGAGGGATGGGGTCCTCAGGACGAGGTGCATCAAACAATGCAAGTCCACCCTTGGACCCCTTCCTACCCTGAGGCATGAAGGGGCCCACAAACACACAAATAAATACACACAAATAAACATATTCCCCATATGTTTCCATATGTTCTGGGTTTTTGTCTTCCCCCCCACTGCCCATTATTTCCCGTATGTTCTGGGGAATCGACGATTAATTGTGTCTGTTTGTTTTTTTTCCGTCCTGAAATCCGAAGGACCCAACACCACAAGACCCCATCTTTGAGCCACCGACTCTGCAGGAGCGTGCGCGCGCATGCGGGCAACCGCGGCAGCGGAGCGAGCCCATCGCCGCCGCATGTCGCTGCCGACGCCGTCGTCGACGCCGCTGTGGTCGTGGACGTCGTCGTCCGCATCGCCGTCAGCGTGGTCGTCATCGTGGCGGTCGTCGTCGCAGGTCGTCCCTTGTCGTCGCCGGCGTCGTCGTCGCCGTCGAGGAGGGTGAGGACTCATCCTTTCTCCCTCCTCCTCCCTCTCCCTCCTCTTCCCCTTCCTCCTCCTCCTCTTCCGTCTCGTCCTCCTTCCTCCCCCTCATCCCTCCCTCCTCCTCCTCCTCCTCCTCCTCCTTCTCCTCCTCCTCCTCCTCAATCTCCTCCCGAGATCCAGAAGGAGCGGCAAACAGATGAAGTTTAGGGGTGCCGCTCCCGGGCTATCACCATCGACGGCGCGCGGGCCCGCCCACACCTGTCCTCACGCACATGTACGCCAAAGCACTCGCTGTACCAGCAGCCGTTCCACCATGGCCACCACCAGCGGTCAGCGGTGGGTGGACGCGAGGTGGATGGGGATGGGGAGCGAGGGAGGTGGACGAGAGATGGAGAGGGAGGGGGGGACGAGGGGGAGCGCGTGGACGAGGAGGACGGAGAGGCAGGACGAGGGGAGGAGAAGACAAGGCTGGCCCCCCTCGTCCACTTCCTCCTCCTCCTCTCGCTGCCCTTCCCCCTCCCGCTGCCCCTCCTCCTCCTCCTCCTCTTCCTCCTCCTCCTCGTCCTCCTCCTCCCATTCGCCTACTCCCCCCCTCAACTTCTCCTCCTCCCCTTCCTTTCTTCGGGGATGGACAGACCCCCCTTTAGTAAAACGTGGTTTAGTGAAAACGACCTGAGGCCCAAACCTGGCGGGCGCAAGCCTGGAAAATGACGGCCGCGGCGCCCTCTCGAGAACCGAAAACGGCCAATTCACTAATCGACGTGTCACTGTTGGGGGTTCTGTCCACCCCCGATTTCTCTCCCCGCCGTCCACCTCCCCCACTGAGGAGGAGCACAAGCGGAAGGAAGAGGAGGACGACGAGGAGACGGCGACGACTCCAACGACGACGACGACCACCACGACAATGACAACCACGACGACGACGACCACAACCAACGACGACGAAGACGGGCACGGCGACGAGCCCGACGGTGACGACGGTGGCGACGGCAGCGACGACGACTACCACGACGGCGACGGCGTCTGCGACCACGTCGGCGACCACGCCCGCGGCGGCCGCGGCGCCTTCACGGAGTCGAAGGCGCGGCTCGCCACCACCGATGCCGCCCACCGGAGCTCCGGAAGGCCTGCGGGCCGCCGCCGCCGCCCTCGTCGTCCAATTCGCCGGCGCGGTCGTCGTCGTCGTCGTCGTCGTCGGAGGAGGAGGAGGAGGAGGAGGAGGAGGAGAAGGAGGAGGAGGAGGAAGGGAAGGGAGAGGGGTAGGGGAAGGGGGAGGTGGAGGGGGAAGGGCAGCGAGCGGAGGGGGGGGAAAGTGATAAGGAGAAGGCCCTCTGGGAAGGTGGTGGGGCTGCTCAGAAGCACTCTCGCCTTCTGAAAGGTCTTCTGCGTCTTCGGCAAATGGCTTAGGACACTTCTCAAAGAGGTCTGGGGACTGCCAAGCCGCCTGAAATGGAGGCCCCCTTCTCACCGCCGGGCTCACCCCGGGCTCACCGCCGACCGCTGCCAAAAATGTGGTTTGCGATCTGCGTTGCCGGCCAGAGCACGAACAAGAACCGATACCGCCACCCTTGCCTCGCTCTCGCCTTTCTTGGGGAGCGGCCAAGAGGGGAGTGTCCAAGAAGGGGGGGGGTGCAAATCATGACCGGCGGCATGTGCGCGGCCCAGCGGGGGGGCCAGGGACGTGATGAAATAAGAAGAGCCGCCATGAAATCTGGGGAAATAGCATGGCCCACGCCATGATATCCACCCCCCCCTAGTCATCACCCCCCTCTTTCCCGCCCCCGATTTCTGGGCCTCCCGGGCGGCCCTCGTCGCCACCGCTGGTCGCCTCGAAACTCTGAGCAGGCCGTGCCCCGGGAGAGGTCTACGGTCCTGGGGAGGAGCGGCCTCCGCACCTCTCGGTCTCCCCATGGCGGGGCGTCGGCCCTCCGGGCTCGAGGCCCCCTGTCCTCTCCAGGGCCGCTCCTCCTCCTCCTCCTCCTCCTCCTCCTCCTCCTCCTCCTCCTCCTCCTCCTCCTCCTCCTCTCCAGAGCCGCTCCTCCTCCTCCTCCTCCTCCTCCTCCTCCTCCTCCTCCCTCCTCCTCCTCCCCCTCCCCCCCTTCCCCTCCTCCCCTCCTCCTCCTCCCCCTCCCCCTCCTCCTCCTCCTCCTCCTCCTCCTCCTCCTCCTCCTCCGCCTCCTCCTCGTGCCCCGACCGACATTCCCAGACCCCGGCCGGGCCGATCGTCTGGGCGCCCGGGAGGGGGCGGGAAGGACCTCCGCTCGGGGACGGTACGCCGGACGGGGCCGGGCCGAGGACTCCTCGTGGCCTGGCCGCTTCCACGGCCAGCTGAGGGCTCGTAGCGGTCGACTGCGGGGCGGATCTTCATCGCCCCTGCCCACCAGACCTCGCCCCGCCCGAGGCCTTCTAGATGGGGTCGGAATGGATGGGGTCGGAGGATCGCGCCACATCGCCGATGCCATCGGCGATGCATTGTCGACGTCGGCGATGCATCCGCGAGGTCGACGTGAAGCGAATCGGGACCCACATCGCGCCGCATCGCCGATGCATCAGCGATGCGGAGCGATCCTCCGACCTCATCTACTCCGACCCCATCTCGGGGCGGATCTTTGTCTCCCCTGCCCACCCGCCCTCCCCCACGGCCTCGCCTCCCGCCCTCCCCCACGACGTCTCCGGCGAGGCAAGGCGGGGTGGAGCGGCGTTGGAGGCGGGTCCGAACGGCGGCGGCTGCACTGCAGGCCGCGCGACTGGCAGGTGCCCCCTGCGAGACGATGGGCGCGGGCCCTGCCCTCACACGGGGGCCTGCCTGGGTGGAGGGGGGGCGGAGGAAGGGGGAGGATGAGGAGGAGGCGGAGGAGGAGAAGGAAGAGGAGAAGGAAAAGGAGGAGGAGGAGGAGGAGGAGGAGGAGGAGGAGGAGGAGGAGGAGGAGGAGGAGGGGAGGGGGAGGGGGAGGGGATGGGGTGGGGGAGGAAACGGAGGAGGAGGAGGCGGAGGGGGAGAAGGAGGATGAGGAGGCTGAGGAGGGGGAGGGGAGGGGGAGGGGGAGGGGAGGGGGAGGGGGAGGGGGAGGGGGAGGAGGAGGAGGAGGAGGAGGAGGAGGAGGAGGAGGAGGAGGAGCAGGAGGAGGAGGAGGAGGAGCGGGAGGAGGAGGAGGAAGAGGCCACAGACATAGGAGGGCGTCCGAGCCACGAACGCACCCGACATCAGAGAAGATGGGGAAGAGGAGGCCAGGGGCCTCAGAACAGTGCAACTGCCGCCTGAAGGTTGTCCTGCGACCTCATCCCCGGGAGGACGCATAGGAGCAGGTAGGACGCCGCGGTCGTATTCTGACCGTCGGTGACTTGTTGACCGGGCGGGGTGCGGGGGGCGGCTCTCGCCTCCCAGCGCCGCGTCCGCGGCCACGAGCGCGGCCGCCCTCGCCAGCCCCGCCGCGCCCCACGGCGGCGCGGCGGCGGTGGCGGTGTCGGCGCGGCCGACGACGACGACGACGCCGACGCCGAGGTAGCGTGCGCACACGCGCCTGCACCCGCCCGACCGCCCACCGCCTCCTCCAGAGGAGGGGCGAAGCCTGGGAAACGCCCGCTCGCTTCAGGAGCAAGCCCGTCCTGAGACGAGGCATCCTCTCCAGGGCCGCCGGCTCCCGCGTGGGAGCCACGGCCATCCAGGCCCAGAGGAGCCCAGTACGCGGGTGCAGTCCACGAAGAGTGCGGGAGACCTGGGACCGCTCATTCGCCCTCGTCGAAGCGACTTTGGAGTGGCCCTTGCAGTCATCCTGGAGCTTCGGATTCCTGCCCTGGCCGACAATATATAGGCCCCGCACTCGAGACAAATGCTGGTGGGCCCACGACGTTCGTCCTCATAGCCACGGGCCCTGTAGACGGCGACCTCCGCCACCACCGCCGAACCATCAGGGGAGGGGGGAAGAGGTTTTGGGGGCCGATGTCAACCTCGTCGGCCGCCCGCATCGCGAGCGCGGCGGCGGCCGACGTTGATGGGGCGGCACACACCAGGAGGGAGAAATACCGTTCCGCCGCCCCCCTAGAGCTAGCCGCGGGCCGGCACTCCTGCCGCCTCGCAGGCTCGAGAGACACGGGAGTGCGGGCACGTGTATGGCAGCGCACACGGCGGTGCTCTCCAGTCCCGGCGTTCACATGAAACTCATGCTGGACCAACTGCGCAACGGGAGCCACTGTCGGGCCGGGCGAAAGGGGGGGATAGCAAAGGCGGGGTTTGAGAATCAGCTCACGTAGCTGATTTTCCCGGCGACTCCCGGCGCCCGAGGCGGCCATCTATCGAGGAATGGGCCGCTCGGTGGGGCCGAAACCGGCTGCATGCAGCAGATTTCGTAACCCCCCCTTTCCCTATCCCCCCCTCTCGTTCGGCTCAACACTGGCCCCCGAGGAACTACCACCGAGGTTGGCTCGAGGGGCCAAGGGCAAAAGAGCAGGGCGAGCACCTGGCTCATCCAGGCGAACACGTTAGCGTTGGCTTTAGCCTCTATCAGCTTACGCTCATGGTGGCCAACTAAAACTTGCCCAGTGCGTGCTGGGCAGACCCCCACTTGGCGAACATATATCTGGCCAGCTGCTGCCCGCAATGTTTAAGACGCTAGCCTCGGGGTCGGCAACAACATCAGCCAGGTTCTTATGGGCAGGGGTCCACTCAAAAGTTGGGCGACCAGTGGGGTACAAGGTGTGGGCTCTCCGCCAGACACTCGCATGCGGCGAGGAAGCCTGTTCGTTGTGAGACCCCCAATTTGGGCCATCACGCAGAAGTGCCAAATGATTACTAATGACATGGGCAGGCTTCGCGGCGACCTCCAGTCCCCTAGACACAGCATAATACTCGGCTCGAGGTACTGCTTTCACCCGGCCTGGAAGTGGCCCGAACAGGGCTCGAAGGGGGAGACCGCTGTCAGAAGTCTCCACAACAGCCCATCTGCAGCGGGTGAAACCAGCCACCCCAGGCCAGACCCGTCCATGAAGATACGCCTCCCCCACGTACCAGACCACTGCCCCCAACCAAAGATTTCGAGGGACGGCTTGACGTTTGGGGGGAACGGCGGCAGGGGCGGAAGCCCATAGAAAGGTAGAAACATTCGACCCCAGCAGCACCATTGACTCTAGCGTGCTGATCAATAATCTCGGCTCTACGTTCGACGATCTCTGGAGGGACGGAACTATTGTCATGTCCATCGCACACCTGCAGCATGCCCGGACAACCAAACCACTGATGAGCACATGTGCCAACAGCATTTTTGCTCACGAAGTATTTGTCATCGCCACGCATGAGGAGGAGGACGAGGAAGAGGAGGAGCAGGAGGGGGAGGAGGGGGAGGAGGAGGAGGAGCAGGAGGGGGAGGAGGGGGAGGAGGAGGAGGAGGAGGAGGAGGAGGAGGAGGAGGAGAAGAAAGAGGAGGAGGAGGAGAGAGGAGGAGCAGGAGCAGAAGGGGGAGGAGGAGGAGCAGGAGCAGAAGGGGGAGGAGGAGGAGGAGGAGGAGGAGCGCGGACCTGCACGGCAGGCCCCCCGCCTTCCCCCCGGGGCCCCCCACCCTCCCCCCCTCGCCTACGCCGGCGCCGGTCGGGAACAGCCTCGGCTCCTCGGCTGGGGCAAGGAGCGCGGGGGCGGCGCGCCCAGGTGCAGCCCTGCCCGTCGTCGCCGCCGCCGTCCGCGTTCGTCGTCGTCGTCGTCGTCGTCGTCGTCGTCGTCGTCGTCATCGTCGTCGCAGTCGTCGTTGTTTTTCCCTCCTCCTCCTCCTCCTCCTCCCCCTCCTCCTCCTCCTCCTCCTCCTCCTCCTCCTCCTCCTCCTCCTCCGCATCATCATCATCATCATCATCATCATCATCATCATCATCATCAGCATCATTGCCGTAATTAGTCAGCGTCGTCGTTGCCGTCCTCGTTCGTCGTCGTCGTCGTGCTTGTCATCGTCGTTCCTGTCATTGTCGTCGTCGTCCTCGTCGTCGTCACCGTCGTC